GTAAAGCTGCACAGCTGGATCCATGCAGGTAAAGCTGCACAGCTGGATCCATGCAGGTGAAGCTGTGCAGATGGATCCATCCAGGTAAAGCTGCACAGCTGGATCCATCCAGGTAAAGCTGCACAGCTGGATCCATCCAGGTAAAGCTGTGCAGATGGATCCATCCAGGTAAAGCTGCACAGCTGGATCCATGCAGGTAAAGCTGCACAGCTGGATCCATGTCGCTATAGGACACAAGACAACATGACGCAGACACACTGCTGCTCTCAGGCAGGAAAAGAGCGAGTTGATTTTCTGACTGTTACATTTATAGATTTCCAAAGGTGACAGAGGATTGGAGGGTGAAAGGGCCACCTCTCCAGGGACACTGGACAAACTAACAGCCTATCAAGTTTCTCTTGCTCCATAAAAGAATGCAAAACAATAAGTTGTTTACAGAAAGTGTGTGAGAAAGTTTCTCACAAGAATGCAAACATCAGAAGCCTTAGAAAATCTTAAAAAATCAGGGCGACAGATCCATCCAGGTGAAGCTGCACACCATGATTAGCACTCAGGTAACCATCACCTCTCATCTCTCGCAGGTGAGAAGCGACCCACCTTCGACGTCAATTACAACTCCAGTTTCCTGTACGAGAAGGAGAGCGAGATGATGCACGGGCGCATGATGGACCAGGCCATCAACAACGCCATCACCTACCTCGGGGCCGAGGCCCTGCGCCCGCTCGTGCAGACGCCGCCGGCGCCCACGGCCGAGATGGTGCCGGTCATCAGCAGCCTGTACCCGCTGCCGCTGCCCCGCGCCGACGTCCCCAACGGCAGCGAGGCCGAGAAGAGCCACCTCAGGGACAAGAGCCTGTCATCCGACAGGGGCCTCTCCCCCAACAACAGCGGCCACGACTCCACAGACACTGACAGCAACCACGAGGAGAGGCCCAACCCCGCCTTCCCCCAGAGCCAGGCGATCCCGGCTCCGACCCGCAACGGCCTCCAGGCCCTGAAGGATTTCCCGAGGCCGTACGAGATCATCAAGCCGCCCGCCATCTGCCCGCGCGACGCCTTCAAGGTCATCAACAAGGAAGGGGAGGCCATCGGCGTGTACCGCTGCGACCACTGCCGCGTGCTCTTCCTGGATTACGTGATGTTCACCATCCACATGGGCTGCCACGGCTTCCGCGACCCCTTCGAGTGCAACGTCTGCGGCTACCGCAGCCACGACCGCTACGAGTTCTCCTCGCACATAGCTCGGGGAGAGCACAGGGTGCTGCTCAAGTGAAAGGACAGCTTCTCCAAGGTCAAGGGATGTGTTTTTAGTTGGAGGGGAGGCTCGGTCGGTTGGCGTTTTAATTAGTGTAATGAAATTTCTTGAGTATTTTTCTAGGCCGGTTTTGAGCGTGTCACAAGGTGACGCCTTTTTAAATTTCTTTCCTGGTAATTCAGTGTTCTGTAGCATCTCTGCCTGGCTGCTGTGGTGAGTGGGACTGTGGGAAACACCAGAAGCAGAGACTGGTTTTGATATGAACATTATTTTTGCGAATCTTCAGAGCCATTTATGATGTTTTCAATTTTTAACTTGTGTTTGTTTTTATAGAGTTTGCTTTAAGTCAGCACAAAAGGTTTTCGTGCCAATTCCCCTGCCCATTCAGGTGAATAGTCAGAGGTGGGTTGGAGGAGCTTTTCCCAGTTATAATCCCAGTGGTTTATCACCAAAACAAGGAAAAGAGGGCAGGAAAAGGGAGGGATTATAAATTCCTCTTCAAAGCTTTTCCCCTAAGCCCTAACAAGAGCGTGGCACACTTTCATTTTCTTACCCCACTGCTGATTTTCTTTTAAGTTACTCAGTAAGAGGAAAATAAGAAATGACACCTATTTGGGGTTGGGATTTTTTAACAGTACATATTTTTGGGATACCCAGCGAGGTCCCTGGATGGCTCATCCATGTGGCCTGGAGGAAATCCCGATTTTCATTGCTGGAAACTCCTCCTTTCTGATGGCTGCCGAGAACGAGGACGAAGCTGTGCTGTGTGCTGTGCCTCTGTCCCACTGCAGCCATGTGGCCGTGCCATCTGTGTCCCCACAGGGTGGCCCTGGCTGGCTGTGGACAGGTGAGACCCCGGGCAGGGCTGAGAGAGCCACACCAGGACAGCCCTCGGGGGATGCTGCTCCACACCCTGAGCAGCTGCCACCCCTTTGAAATTGGTTTTTACAACTTCTCTTTGAATTTCCCCATGGCCCCACAGCTGTGTTGGTGTCCCTGTGCTGGAGAGGGGATTGGTAACGGCTTTGCTGAGTGAAGGTTTAATCTTTTTGCAAAATATTTTTGTATCCTGTAGTTAGGAGTGTTCTGATGGACTTTCTGCATCCCTTGTGTGGTTTGAGAGCTGTGTTGCTTTTGTGTTAGCCCTGCTGATCCAATCACTTCCCTGAGGGAAGGCTGAAGAGCTGAGGGTCAAGAACTACTGAAATTCATCCCTCCCTTTGAGTTCTTTTGGCTCAATTATTTCCTCCCTGAATTTTAAGGTACAAAATAAGAAATTTATATTCGTGTTTTCCACTAAAGGTGGACTTGGAGAGGGATAATTCAGCCTGCAGTGTGTCTGAGTATCCAGGGTGCTGTGGAAGTGCTAATCCAGGATCCTGCTGTCCTGGGGTTGAGGAGAACCCTTCTGCTGTTTTGTGTGGAGCTGCAAAGCAGGTTTGGGATGTTTCCCAGAGCTCCATCATGAGCAAGGTGCATGTTGGCTCTCCCTAAATGAACACCTGTGTCACAATGTGACCAATGCTCCTCCTGTGATGCTGCAGCTCCACCAAGGATCAGCCCCAAGGGCCAAGATTTTGGGTCCAGAAAAGCGAGGGAAAGGGAGTGAGAGAATTCCCAGAGAACAAAGAGAAGGTTCCACTGCTGCCCTGACATTTCTAAGTCCAACATTTTTAGGACATTGTGGTTATCTTTATCAATTTCTAATTTTGTGACAAGCTTGCTTTTCAAAGGCTTCATTTCAAGACCAAAGAATTGTCAATAAATGAATAAAATATTTAAATAATGACGATGTCCTGATTGAGGGCAGGCAAAGGCAGGTTCTTAAAGCAATCCACAGAGACTTCCTGGAGCCATCCAAACATCTTATTCTCCATAAGTGGATTGGGTAATGGATTCATTTAAGAATACACTTGAATTGTCCCTTCACACCCCATCATTCAGCCCTGTCCCACAGCGCTGCCCTGGCTTGGGACATGGGAATCCCACTGAATCATGCCTGGATGTTGAGGGGCTGTGTTGGTCTCTGAGCTTGGGGGAGCTCTGGAAACCACCTTGTCTGGGAAAACAGATGGGAAAAACACTGAGACTGATTTATTCTGCTCCTGGCTTGGTTACCTTGGTCTGGAACAGGGTTGGAGCATTCTCCAGTGCCTTGGTGTGTCCATCTTGCTTGGTTTTCATTTACTGATGAATTACACCCCAAGAGTGGGCAGGGGAAGCTCACCAAGGAGCTTTTAGCACCAAGAAATGAACCTCTGCTGCTTAAAGGATTTTTTAAGTTTTAAAAATATCCGTAAATAAATGCCCACTCTGTCAGCCATGAAAACAGATCTGGGAGTGACCAGCAGAGCTGGCTGAGGAGTGAGAATGAGTGCTGGGGCTCATTTGACATGCTGGGAGCTGTAAACCCCACAGGTGTGATGGAATCTGTGTCCCCAAGGGGTGCTGAGCCACGGTGGGGGCTGTGCTCAGCAGAACCCGCTCCAGTCAGAGGTGTAAAACAACATCACCTGCTCCTCTGACCGCTGGAAAATGGTGTTGGGCACGGTTTTGGTGAGCAGAGGAAGGGTTTAACCCGGGAGCTGCGGGGTGGGGGCAGCTCAGCCCCACTCCTGGGCTGCGGGGTGGGTTCGTGGCTCCCAGGGCTGTGTCGGGCAGATGGAAACATCCCGGCTGCGGAGGGTGGAGGCTCACACCAACCCCCTTTAGGCTCTTTTAGCACCTGCCTTACCAGGCTGACGTTGTTCTCGCTTCTTTCATCCCCCCCTGACACCTCCTGCCACAAGAGCTGGACACGCTTGAGAAACAGAAACGAAAAAAACCCGAGAAGAAAGTCAGAGGATCCTTTTTTTTTTTTTCTTTTCCCTTCACTTCCTTCCCGCTCGGGTGCCACCAAACACTGAGGGGTCTCTCCGAGGGTTGGGTGGGACAGAGGGGGCTCGGGGCTGCGGACAGCGACTCCCAAGGCATCTTCCCATCCTGGTTTATCTTTATAAGAATTGGTTTGATCCAAAACCCCTCAGCCTTCTCCTGCCTGGAGCCAAACCCCTTTAAAGGCTTACAGAAACCTTCAGTTGGTGTTGTGACAGAGAGATCCTTATCTGCTGATAGCTGTAATCGTGATAGAGCGCAGAGGAACTCGTTTCTCCTGTCGTGTCGTGTTGAAACACGCTTCCTTAACGCACCAAAAAAAAAAATCCCATAAAACTTCCGCCTGCTGGTCTGCATCCTTGGAGCATCCCGGCCGGCTCCTGCTCCGGTCCAGCCCCCAAAACCCGACGGGAGGGGACGGGGAGCACTGAGTCACTGCCACCACCCCCTCGGTGGCCCGACTCCCCCGCCGTGCTCTGACTCACGGGGACCCGGCGGCGTTTTCCCACCCTCGGCGTGGGTCGGGTTCCCAAATCCGGGGGGCAGGGGGTGAGCAGAGCCGGCTCTGTGCTGAGCGACAGTGGGAAGGGGCATTGGAAGTGCCCCCAGCTCTGGCACCGGGACGCAGGGACAGGGCCGTGACTGTCACCGCGGTGTCACCGGGGCACCACCACGGGGACAGCAGCTTTGTGTCACGCCTGGTGCCCCCCTCGCTGCGCCGGGAGGGAAGTGAAGCCCCCGGGGAGCCGCCGACCCGGCCCCTCCAGCCCCTCCAGCCGGGTTATATCTGGCGCCGCATTTGCATGGCAGCGAGCCGGCACCTGGCAGCGAAATCCTCGGGGGATCGAGGACACGGGGAGCGGCTGGCGATTGTCACACGCTGGCGACAGGAAAGTCCCAGCAGACGATTGTTTTTTTAGAAGAATTTACTTCCAACCCGCACGGCTCCGGCAGTGCCTGCACCCCGGCACCCGCGGGGCTGCGGCCATGGGGGTGACAGCCCTGGGCTCCAAGTGGTGCCCCACGGCCACGGAGGATGCTCCGGGTGCGAGGTGATGCTCCTCAGCCCCAAACACAAGCCAGGTGCCCGCTGCCTCTTGGGGATGCCCTCACCCACAGCAGCTCCCTGTTCCCCCCTCTCTGTCCCCCCAGTTCCCCCAGTTCCAGCCCCACTGCTGCTCCCCTGGGCACTGGGGGACACCGTGGGGCTGGGGGTGTGTGAGGAGGGTCCTGTCCTCCCTCAGCCCCGTTTCCCACAGCCGTGGCTTTGTGCCGGGGCCCCCCTTGTTGCTCCCCGGGGCCGGGCAGAGTCACGCCTACCTCTCCCCCCATCCAGCCCCCCAAGCGGAGAAAGTTAGTCAAATCTGCAGAAACCGCAGAGGGGGGAGGCAGCGACACTGTCACCGCTTTGATGTCACCCCTGCACGTCCCACAGGTGCTGCCACCACCCCGGGGCCGCGGTCCCACCACCGCTTTGCCATTAACTCGTGCGAGAAGGGGGGGATAATGCAAAAAATATTTCCTTCCCCACCTCCATCCTGTCCCCACGGTCCCTGGAGCCGGCGGGGCTGGCAGAGGCCACGTGCGCGGCACACGGAGCTGCAGCCGCTGCCATCCAGCCCTCTGGGGGTCCCTCCAGAGCTCCGGGGACTCAGGGAGGGCGGGGGGAGCCAGGAAGGCTCTGAGCAGCGGGGCTGATTCATGCCGGGCCTCCTGTGGTTTCCCCCTGCTCTCACCTCCCGGTGCTGTCACGCCAAGCGCCCACACGGCAGCGCCCAGGGTGAACCCACCCTGATGTCACCCACCGGGAGCTGGAGGGGGGAGCCCCTGGGGCATCTGCTAGGGCACCAGAGATGGTGCTCTGGGGCACCCAGAGCTGCTGCTGGGCACCCCTGAACCCGCCCTGCACCCCAAATGCCCCCCGTGCCCCTCTGAACACTCCACACACCCCTCTCGCTCTGCTCCCCAGCACCTCCTGCACCCCCTGTGCTGCCCCAGCGCCCTCAGTGCCACACAGGGGTGACACCCACCACAGGACATTCCCGACCCCGCAGCAGTGCCCGGAGGGAGGAGGATGCAGCACCGGGGGGTGACGGGGTGAGGTCCCCTGGGTGCCACACGCCCGCGGGGCAGAGGCACGGGTGCCCCAGGGGAGCAGGAGGCAGGCAGGGGGCAGCTGCCAGCCCTTCCCAGCCCCGTCACGGCCGCTGCACTCCCGGAGGAAGCTGCTCTGCCTTGCCCTGGTTATAAATACCCTCCCATTTTAATGCGGTGGCGGCGGGAGCTATTTCAGGCCGGGAACGGGAAGCGAAACCCTGCCCAGGTCCCGGCCTCCTTGCCCCCGTACCCGGGATGGGCTGGGCAGTGCCCAGGAGCCACAAGGGTTTATTTGAAGCCCAGGAGGCGCACGCCTGCCTTGACCTTCTGTGCCTTCCAGCGGAGCAGGCGGATGGCGCGGAGGCCGAAGCGCAGCACGGCGTCGTACTTGAACACCAGCTGGTAGAAGGCGTGGGTGACCAGGGCGCCGCTGGGGTCGGCGTGTTTGAGGGCGGCCATCGGCGTGTACGCCGCGTTGGTCTGGTGCCGGAACGGCGGCCGGGCCGCCTCGATCACCCGCAGGGTGTGCTGCACGTGGGCAGGGGATTGTGCCCTTCCTGTCCCCTTCCTGTCCCCTTCCTGTCGCCACAGCCCCACCCCATTGAACCCTGTCTGGATCCCATCTGCACTTCCATCCTCATTCATTTTTCCCCTCCCTTCCCATTCTCCTATTCCCGTTCCCATCCCATCTCCTTCTCATTCACTTCCTATTCCCATCCCCAAGCACTTCCCATCCTGTCTCTAATCCATCCCACCTCATTCTATCCCATCCCCAAATCCTTCCCATTCTAACCCTATGTTTATCCTATCCCACCCCATCCCCTTCCCATCCCACCCCTATCTCCATCCCTTCGCATTCCCATTCCATTTCTGCCCATCTCCATCCTCAGTTCCTTCCTGTTTTATTCCCATCCCATCACCATTCCCATCCCATCACCATTCCCATCCCATCACCATTCCTATTCCCATTCCCATCCAGCTCAGCCCCATCAGGATGGAGCTGTCTGGGTGTCAGCTGCCCCACTGCTGGCTGGGCGCTGCTGTTCCTTGTTAGGACAAATTAACCCCTCTGTCCGGCCCAGCCCAGCCCAGCAGGGCACCCCCTGCCCGCTGGCACCCCCTGCCCGCCTGTCACCTCCGCGATGTCCTCAGGGGTCTGGCCCAGGCTGGTGAAGACATCCCTGGAGTTCCTCAAGTAGAGCTTGGTGAAGATTTCGGCCGTCTCGGGGTCGGTGCGCGAGTAGTCGGCGCGTTCGGCTTCCTCGTACAGCTTCGTCTCGAATTCCGTCATCACCGGCCCCGGCTCCACCAGGCTGATCCTGCCCAGGGATGGGGCGCTGGGCACTGGGCACCCCCGGAGCCCCGTCCCCAGGGGGTGCACGGCCACCTGCCCCCATACTCACGCCACGTTGAAGCGCAGCGCCTGCACCACCAGGCTCTCGCAGAAACCTTCCACCGCAAACTTGGAGGCCGAGTAGATGTCATTGAAGACGATGCCTGGATGGGTTGGGGAGCTCCAGTCAGGGCTGGGTGGGGGCTGGTCCCCCCAGGGCACCCCGTTTTCCCCTACCCTGCAGGCCCATGATGCTGCTGATGACGACGATGTGGCCGCCGCGGCGCCGCTTCATGTCGGGCAGCACCTCCTTGACCAGGCGCACCAGGCCGAAGAAGTTGGTGTCCATGAGGCTCTGCATGGCTGCCAGGCTCTGGCACTCCAGGGGCCCCGCCATGCCCACCCCGGCGTTGCTGACTGTGGGCAGGGGGCATCAGCGGGGTGTGCCCTGGGCAGGGGGATCCCTCACCCTGGGCATGGGGGTCCCTGCTTCTCCGAGTGTGCCCAGCATGGGTGTGGAGGGTCCCTGGTGCTGGGTGACCCTGGCAGGGAGAGTCACTTGTGTGTGGGGTCAGGGTGCTTGAGGGACCCTTGGCACAGGGGGTCCCCAGTGCTTGGAGGGTCCCTAGAATGGGGTGTGCTGAGTTTGGAGGGTCCCTGGTGCAGGGAATGGTGTCCTGGCACAGGGGGTCCCTGTCACGGACAGTCCCCGCTGTGTGGGGTCAGGGTCATGAGGTGTCCCTGGCACGGAGTGTCCCAGCACTGGGAGCACAAATGTTCCCCAGCACGGGACCCCCCTACACAGCCATCCCCACCACGGAGGGTCCCCTCACGGGGGTCACGCCGGGCCAGAAATCCCGTGCCTCACCCAGGATATCGATGTGGCGCCCGGGGATGCTGTCGAGGCAGGCTCGGATGGAGCCCTCGTCGCACACATCCAGCTGCTTGATCTCCAGCGTCCTGCCCAGCGCCGGCCCCGCCGCCGCCGCCAGCGCCCCGCTCCTGCCCGTGTTCCTCATGGTGGCGATGACTGCGGGCACAGCGGGCACGGCGGGCTCAGCCCCCGCGGGCACAGCGGGCACGGCGGGCTCAGCCCCCGCGGGCTCTCCCCGGGGGCTGGGGGGGTCCCCGCGCCCCGCTCACCTCGGAAGCGGCGCTGCTTGTCCCTGGCCAGGCGCACGGCCAGCGCCAGCCCGATGCCCGAGGAGCAGCCGGTGATCAGCACCGTCTTGGGAGCCATGGCACGGCCTCGCTGCCTCGCCCCAGCCCCCCCCATTTATAGCAGCTGCCCCCAGCCCCCCCAAATCCGGGCGCTTAATCCCCCCTGGATAATCCCCCCCGCCCGGGGATTTGCGTGGCTGAGCCGCACGTGGTGCCCCGGGAGCACAGAGGGGCCTTTGTGAGGGACACGGGGCACTGTGGGGACACGAGGGACTCTGTGGGGACACTGCCAGGCTTGGGGGACACTGCGGGACATGGGGACGCTGCCAGCCGTGTGGCACTGGGGATGGGGAGGGAGGAGGCAGGAGCTCTGCAAAAATAACCTTTATTATCACTGGTATAAAACACGTCCCAGTTCAACTGGCCTCGCGGAGACGTGGGGGACACGGTGATGGGTGCCCCCCTCACCCCCACAGCCCGGGACCCCGCTCCTGGGGACCCCAAAACCCCCCTGGTGTGGGGGCAAGGAGCGCCAGGCCCCTGCAGGGACACTCGGGGCAGAGGGGAGAAAGTGCTTGAGTGTGGGGGTCCTGGCGTGGGCTGTGCCATGCTGGCGGTGCCAGGCTGTGCCAAACCACCCCACTGTGCCAGACTGTGCCAAACTGTGCCACGCTGGTGGTGCTGGGCTGTGCCAAACCATCCCACTGGTGCCGAGCTGTGCCAGCAGTGCCAGGCTGTGCTGAGCTGTGCCACGTCAGTGGCGCCCAGCTGTGCCAAACTGCGCTGGTGGTGCTGGGCTGTGCCAAACCATCCCACTGGTGCCGAGCTGTGCCAGGCTGTGCTGAGCTGTGCCACGTCAGTGGCGCCCAGCTGTGCCAAACCGCGCTGGTGGTGCTGGGCTGTGCCAAGATGCATCAGTCCGTGCCAAACAATCCCAGTGGTGCCAGGCTGTGCCAAGCCATTCCACGCCGGTGCTGCTGGGCTCTCTCAAGCCGTGAGACTGAGGCGAAGAACGCCAGCAGTGCCAGGCTGTGCCAAACCACGCTGGCAGTGCCAAGCTGTGCCAAGCCCTGCTGTGCTGGTGGTGCCAGGCTGTGCCAAACCACGCTGGCAGTGCCAAGCTGTGCCAAGCCCTGCTGTGCTGGTGGTGCCAGGCTGTGCCAAGCCCTGCCAGGGGCTCAGAGGGCCACGCAGGTGCAGTAGTGCCGCAGCTTGCAGGGCAGGATGCCGCGGTTGATCTGGTGGAACTCCACCAGCTGGATGAGGTCGGCGAAGCGCGTCTGCCCGTCGTCCATGGTGAAGTAGAGCCGACCCTCCTCCTCGCTCTGCCGGGGGGCTGCAGGTCAGGACCCCTCTCCCCAGCCCTCCCCTGGCACCCCCCCGCGCCGGGCTGGCACTCACCGGCAGGATGAGGTAGTGCTTGATGCGCTGCAGGTGGCACAGGGACAGCACGAAGCCCTTGGGGTTCCGCTGGCTCTCCCGCACCAGGAAGACCCTGAGAGCCCCAGCGGTGTCACTGCTGGCCCCAGGTCCCCTGTGCCCTCCCAGTGTCACCCACAAACCCCTTCTGAAGAGCCCGGTACCCCCTGGCACCCCCAAACCCTGCAACAACCCAGGATCACTCACCCCCACCCCACACACGTCCTGTACCCCCCAGGAGCTGCAAGACCCTTTAACCCTTGAGCTCCCGAGCCTCTCTGGAGTCCCACGTCCCCCCCAGGAGCCCCAGGGACCCCGACCCCCCCAGCCCGGGGTCCCTTACCCGTCCACCAAGCCCTGGCGGCCCATGAGCTGCTGGGTGTCCTCGCGGGAGATGCGCCCGTGGAACCAGGGCTGGGTGCGGTGGATGGCTGTGGGGAGAGGGGTGTCACCCTCGGGGGGACCCCCTGCCCGGGGCGGGGACCCCCAGTGGGCACTGAGCCCCCCCGTCTCACCGGCGCTGAGCGGGGAGCTGTGGCAGGCCGCGGGCAGGCTGTACCGGTGCGTCGTCTTCTTCTGGGCACAGCGAGAAAGGAGGGGACATTAGGGTGGCCTCGGGGGACACCCCCTCACGCGCCAGCACCCCCACTCACCCTCCAGGCCTGGGCCTCCTCCAGGGCCACGCTCAGCACCTCGCTGGGGTTCTCAATCACCCGGCCCGTGCAGCCTGAGAAGTCCATGGCCACCAGGGCGTTGTCGGAGACGCTGCGCTGTGGGGGACAGGGGGGTCACCCAGGGTCCCCCCCGGCCAGGGGCTGCAGGGGCAGGGGACACTCACCAGGGGCGTGGGGCCGAGCCAGGGGGGCTGGCTCAGCCGCGCCTGGGCTTGCTGGTAGTTGCGGTAGAGCTGCATCCCGTACTGGGGGAAGAGATCTGTCAGCTGGGGGGGCACCCAGGGACACCAGGGACACCAGGGACACCAGGGACACACAGGGACACCAGGGACACCAGGGACACACAGGGACAGCCAGGGACACCCAGGGACAGCCAGGGACCCCAGTGCAGGGGTAGGGACCTCTGCAGCCACTCCACGTGGGCACAGGGACACCCACCCTGAGGCATTTTCACTGGCATGGGGTCATCCCTCCACATTCCCCCCTTGTGCCTCCCCAGCACTGTCAGATGAAGCCCTTTTCTGACCCAGGGATGGGGCAGCTGAGAGGTGTTTTAAATACTTTTATTCTATTTTCAGTCTCATGTGAAGGGTGAGACAATACAGATGTTATAATTCACGCCATCACAATCAGGAGCCAATTATTTCCTAATTATAATACACTACAAGCCTTTTTTGGCCTATCAGCTTTTGCCAGGGACAGCCAGGGACACCCAGGGACATGAAGGACATCCAGGGACACCCAGGGACACCAGAGACACCCAGGGACACCCAGGGACACCCAAGGACACCAGAGACACACAGGGACAGCCAAAGACACCCAGGGACACTCAGGGACACCCAGGGACCTCCACAGCCCCCCAGTGCAGGGGTAGGGACCTCTGCAGCCACTCCACGTGGGCACAGGGACACCCACCCTGAGGCATTTTCACTGGCATGGGGTCATCCCTCCACATTCCCCCCTTGTGCCTCCCCAGCACTGTCAGATGAAGCCCTTTTCTGACCCAGGGATGGGGCAGCTGAGAGGTGTTTTAAATACTTTTATTCTATTTTCAGTCTCACGTGAAGGGTGAGACAATACAGATGTTATAATTCACGCCATCACAATCAGGAGCCAATTATTTCCTAATTATAATACACTACAAGCCTTTTTTGGCCTATCAGCTTTTGCCACCCCGTGCTGTAAATGCCTTAAACCAAATTATCTAAAATTACCTCTCTTGGGTCCTACTACAATGCATCTTTCATAATTCTATTTCTCCAAAGAGAGAAATACAACTATGGTCTTATTTGGTCTTATTTGGTCTTATTTGGTCTTATTTGGACTTCTTTGGACTTATCTGGACTTATTTGGTCTTATTTGGACTTATCTGGACTTATTTGGACTTATTTGGTCTTATTTGGACTTATTTTGTCTTATTTGGTCTTATTTGGACTTGTTTGGTCTTGTTTGGTCTTATTCACACCTTTTAAAACCTTTTTCCCAGTTCCATTTTTCTCCCAACAATATCCGCCCTATTCCACGCCATTCCCAAGCCAGCATTCCCCATCTCAAGTCTTGCACACGGACGCACGCCGCGCGAGCCTTCTGCCACACCGCCACCCCAGAACTGCCCCCCAGGACGCCCCCCCAGGTCCCCTGCAGCACCCCTGGGCCCCCGGCCCACCTTGAAGAGGCGGAAGGCGGCCATCCAGCAGCTGCGGCTCTGCTCGTCCTCGCTGCACAGCACCTTCAGGCCCTTGAGGCCGCTCCGCGCCTTGTGGGGCTGCGGGAGAGGCCGGGGCCGTCACGGGGCAGCCCCCTGGGCTCTGGGGGGGACACAGAGCCCTCGGCAAGGGGGAGGAGCAGGGAGTGACCCCGCCGCGGGCATCCCCACCTTGATGCAGAAGCCGAACTCCGTGGGCGTCCCGTAGAGCTTCTTGCCCTGCGTCACGTAGTAGATGTTGGACTCGGTGAGGTCGGCGAAGTACTGCAGGTGCCGGGGGTCCTGGGGGGTGAGGGGGTGTCAGGGCTGGCCCTGCCGCACCCCCAGGTCGTTCCCCACTCCCCCAGGACCCCCTGGGCTCACCTTGGAGGTGCCCTTGGTGGAGTAGTAGAGCCCCGAGCGGCGCAGGGAGAAGTGGAAACGCTTCCAGACCTTGCGCCCGGCCTCCCGCAGGTGCAGGAAGCCCTGCACCTCGGGGCAGCTCCCAGAGTTGAGGAAATTCTGGGGGGACACGAGGGCTGAGGGGCACGGCGGGGTCCCCGGGGCGCGGCGGGGGTCCCCGGGGCACGGCCGGGCACGGTGCCCCGTACCTGGATGAGCTCGGAGTGCGCCATGCTCTTGTTGGCCTCCAGGCAGCTGGACACCATCACCTCGGGGAACAGCAGCTGCTGGGGGGCACAGGCTCAGCAGAGACCCTCGGGGTGCCCACGGGGGGGTCCCAGAGGGTGCCCACCTACCGCGCTGCTCTTGAAGAGCTCGTACTTGGCGAAGTTCTTGCGGAACACGAAGCGGCTGTCGGCACCTGGGGCCCAGGAGCTCTGCACCTCCACCACCGACTCGTGGTCCTCCAGGCAGCGCTCTGGGGGGGCACAGCGGCTCAGCAGGGTGGGGGTTCCCCACAAGGCATGCCCTGCTGTGCCCCCACGGCCTCTCACCCAGGGCCAGGTGCTGGTGCAGCTCCACCAGGGCCCAGCTGTGGTCGTGCAGCGCGCGCGTCCTGCGCACCAGCGTCTCGCAGAGCTGCCGCGCCGTGGTGGCCCCCGAGGCCTCCAGGGAGCGGCAGGCGCCGTCCTCGCCGAACACCTTCACCACCTGGGGGGTGGGACGGGGGCCGTCAGGGACCCCCTGGCGCGAGGGGACCCTGCAGAGCCACGGGTGGGAGCAGCCACCCTGCCCCCTGCTCCTCAGCACGTGTGCGAGGTGGTTCCTGCCCCAGGGATGGGATCCCCCCTTTCCAGAGCCTTGATTCGTGCAGGATGTGGTTCCTTCCCCGAGGATGGG